AGCGAGCTTTCTTCGACATCAGGATTTTTGATCCCATGGCCGTTTGTCACCGTAACCTAGCTCTCGATGCTGCGCATAGGAGGAACGAGAATGACAAGAGAAGGGCATATGGGGAGAGAATTCAAAATGTTGATCAAGGCAGCTTCACTCCTCTAGTGTTCACAACCTCTGGTGGGATGGGCCCAAGTGCAAGATGTTTCTACGCCAGACTCGCGGAGCTGATCTCCGAACAGAAGTAGCAGCCCAGAAGTTATGTCACAGCCTGGATGAGATGTCGACTGTCCTTCTCTCTCCTTCGGTCGGCTTTGCTCTGCCTCAGGGGAACGAGAGCTTCTGCCCCTACTCCGACAACTGCTGCAGATATCGACTATGAGGCTACAGTCACCGAATGCCGCATGGATCTGCGGCTCAACTAATTTAACACAGATAGGATAGTTTCTTATGTATTAGGATATTTAATATTAAGGTAAATAAATGGTGGCGAAGGTGTGGCTATTGGGGGAGGCTGGAGGCCACGTTAAAAAAAAAAAAAGTAGTAGTAGTAGTAGTAGTAGTAGTAGTAGTAGCATTAGTAGTAGTAGGCCTATTGGGGTGGGGGAAGTGCTGAGGCGGATCATCGGAAAATGCATAATGGAGGTGGTAAAGGATGATGTCAGGGCAGCAGCAGGGAACCTACAAGTGTGTGCTGGCCACCAGGCTGGTGGGGAGGCCGCCATTCACGCCATGAGATTGATATTTGAGCAGCGTGATTGTGAGGCCGTTCTTCTGGTGGATGCCTCAAACGCATTCAACATACTTAACCGCAAGGCTGCACTGCACAACATCAAGATCAAGTGTCCTAGCTTTGCGATGTATGTTGAAAATTCGTATAGGAATCCTTCAGACCTCTACATAGTAAACAACAAGGCTCTCCGAGGTGATACCATCCTACAGTCGACCGAGGGAACAACACAGGGGGACCCCGTTGCAATGGCAATGTATGCAATTGGCCTATCAGTGCTCCAACAAGAAATAAAATTTGAAACAACTGGGGTCAAACAAGTGGCGTATGCTGATGACCTTACAGGAGCAGGAAAAGTGGAGGGCATCAAAAAGTGGTGGGACCTGGTAACATGGCGAGGTCCACAAATAGGGTACCACCCAAACGCCAGCAAGTCCTTCCTCATCGTGAAGCCAGAACATTATGAACGGGCATTGGAGGTTTTTGGCGGAAGTGAGGTCAAAATAACTAAGGACGGCCAAAGACATCTAGGCGCAGTACTTGGCACTACGGACTTCAAGACCGAGTACGTAGCGGGAAAGGTGAACGAGTGGGTTAGTGAAATCCAAGCTTTGTCTGAGATTGCTAACACAGAGCCACATGCGGCCTTTCCTGCATTCACCCATGGAGTCAAGCATCGTTGGAACTACCTGATGCGTACTATCCCTGATATCGGACCCCTCCTCCACCCTCTGGAAGAAGCTATCAGTGTCAATTTCATTCCTAAATTAGTGAAACACCCTGACTTAACCCCAGTAGAAAGAGCACTTCTTGCACTTCCATCAAGAATGGGAGGGATGGGACTAACCAATACAGAGGAGATTGCTGCCACTGAACATCAAAATTCACTTAAGCTCACGGCAGCCCTCACGGACCACATAATAGCCCAGAATGCAACAGGGGAAGTGGATATCAGTGAAGTAAATAAGATTCACAGCCCCCCTTCGCTCATCTGACGGTAACCACAAAACTAAAGACGACGAAGGCCTCCTTCAGCGCTGGAAAGAGCACTACCATTCATTGCTCAACCGAAAAACCGATGTGGATGTCCTAACTACCCAGAAGGTCCCTCAGCATCCAAAGCTGACCCACCTCAGCTATCCTCGATCCCTGGATGAGGTAGCTACTGCCATCAAACAGATGAAAAATAACAAAGCCGCAGGGCCTGATGGAATCCCAGCCGAAGTGTATAAAGCAGGAGGACCTCTACCTACCAGCCGTCTCCACTCTCCCGGAGAATATATGGGAAAAGGAGGAAATCCCCCAATCTCTTAAAGATGCCTCCATTGTCAATATTTATAAGAACAAGGGGGACCAGTCAGATTGTGGAAACTACCGTGGGGTCTAGCTGCTCTCCGTAGCTGGCAAGATTATAGCCCGAGTCCTCCTAAACAGACTTCTTCCTGAGGCGGAAAACTTTCTCCCAGAATCTCAATGTGGTTTTAGACCATCACGTGGCACCACTGACATGATCTTTGCTCCCCGCCAGATACAGGAAAAGTGCAGAGAACAGAGTCATGACCTGTACATGGCTTTCATCGACCTAACCAAGGCCTTCGACTCGGTCAACAGGGAAGCCTCTGGTGGAACCTCAGCCGTTTTGGCTGCCCACCAAAATTCATCGCCATTGTGAGGCAACTCCATGATGGCATGAACGGCAGTGTCCTGCACAACGGCACCCAGTCAGAGTTCTTCCCCATCCAAACGGGGGTTAAACAAGGGTGTATACTAGCACCAACTCTCTTTTCCATTTTCTTGGCTGCTTTCCTTACTCGTGCCAGTGCCAATTTAGCCGGCGGGGTGGACATCGAGTACCGGGTGAAGGATCGTTTCAACACAAGACAACTCCAGGCAAGAACAAAGGTGTCGACAGCTTCCATTACTGAACTTCAGTATACAGACGACCTCACCCTTGTTGCTCACACTGAACACGATCTACAGGAGATCCTGAACATCTACGCAGACGCATATGCACACTTCGGCCTTGAGGTGAATGTGCGTAAGACTCAAATTCTCTTTCAGCCTGCCCCTGGTTCAGAGACACCTCCACCATCCATCCAGCTTAACGGTACTACCCACTCTAATGATACCCACTTTCAGTATCTCGGCTCCCACCTGTCCACCACCGCAGACATCGATGAAGAAATTCAGCATCGGATCAGAAGTGCATCTCACGCCTTGGGCCCACTTCGAAATACTGTCTTCAGCTGTAGGGAGCTGAAATTATCCACAAAGTTGCACGTATATCGAGCAGTGGTCCTGCCCACCCTACTATATGGCAGCGAGACATGGGTCACATACAGGAGGCACATCAAGGCACTTAAAAACTTTCACCAACGTAGTCTACGTTCCATCCTCCGAGTTCGCTGGGAAGACAAGAGAACAAATGCCATTATTCTCGCTGACACCTACTGTAGGAGCATCGAGTCTACCAGTATCCATGAACAACTACGTTGGACTGGCCATGTTACCCGCATGGACGACAGTAGACTGCCAAAGCAGCTACTTTACAGTCACCTAACGAATAGTAAACGTAACGCTGGCGGGCAACTGAAAAGGTATAAGAATAGTCTTATGACAAACCTGAAAAGGTGCCAAATCGACCCCCTCACCTGGGAGATGATTACTCCACATCGTAACGCTTGAAGGAGCACCACACGAGAAGGTGTCAATACTTTCGAGTTAGCCCGACTGCAAAACGAGGCAGATAAGCTCCAACGTCGGAAAGACGCTGCCGCCTCCCCTCCCGCACTAGATGTAGCCCTCCACATGTGCAACGAATGTGGACGACGCTGCCGGTCCCGTATCGGCCTTTTTAGTCACCTCAAGACACACCAATGAAGGTGACATCCTTAATAACTCATATCATTGTATCATAGCTCGATGATCGTCATACTCGATTCCGAGTGACAGCAAAGTAGTAGTATGTGTGTGTGTGTGTGTGTGTGTGTGTGTGTGTGTGTGTGTGTGTGTGTGTTTATCAGAAGATGAGGATGCTTGGAAATGCAGATAGAATCTCTTTCTTTATCCATCACCACCACCACCTTCACCTACCACCACCACCACCACCACCACCACCCTACCACCACCACCACCTTCCACCTACACCACCACCACCACCTTCACCCTACCACCACCACCACCACCACCTTCACCCCTACCACCACCACCACCACCCCTACCACCACCACCACCACCACCTTCACCCCACCACCACCACCACCACCACCTTCACCCCTACCACCACCACCACCACCACCACCTTCACCCTACCACCACCACCAACACTCCTACCACCACCACCACTACCACCACTACCACCTTCACCACCAACTTTACCCTACCACCTTCACCACCACCTTCACCACCACCTTCACCCTACCACCACCACCACCACCTTCACCCCTACCACCACCACCACCACCACCACCTTCACCCTACCACCACCACCAACACCCTACCACCACCACCACCACCACCTTCACCCCTACCACCACCACCACCACCTTCACCCCTACCACCACCACCACCACCACTTTCACCACCACCAACTTAACCCTACCACCTTCACCCTACCACCACCACCAACCACCCTACCACCACCACCACCACCACCACCACCACCTTCACCCTACCACCACCACCACCACCACCTTCACCCCTACCACCACCACCACCACCACCACCTTCCACCACCACCACCACCAACCTACCACCACCTACACCCCCCCCATTAGTCTCCCAAGGGGTGTCTATTATTTAAAGTTATGGTTGAGTAAAATACGAAGACCAATAAGCCGGGCGTCTCTTATATTATCCTGAGGCTGAGAGACACAATCTCTCTCTCTCTCTCTCTCTCTCTCTCTCTCTCTCTCTCTCTCTCTCTCTCTCTCTCTCTCTCTCTCTCTCTCTCTCTGTTTTCATGATTATAAACAATCTAATCATCGCTTCAGAATAATGTTTAAGTATTCATCCTAAATTTTGATTATTTAAAAGTAATCGCTTCAAGGTAATATTAATCTTAATGTAATCGCCTCAAGGTAACATTTCTTCAGGAGGGTTAACACAAATGAGCTAGTTAGTGTATGACAGGTGTTTTAGACTATAACATTTGATTTGTTCTCTAAAATGTTCTCGAATATGTGTATCCCAATGTGTGTTCTCAATCGGATGTTGTTTATCAGTGACCCTCCTCCCAAGGTGTTCTAAATCAGTGTTCTTACCTGTGTTCCTCCGCCAGGGTCGTTGGCTCGCAGCAGCTGGTTCCCGAGGAGGTACCGGGGCGGCTACAGCTTCGACCTGAGGAAGAGGGTGTCGTCAGTAGTACCGCCACCTGACGAAGAAGACGACGATGACGTAGATGAGGCCCTGGGGGATAACGGGGCCTTCTTCACCTACTCCTACTAAACTTAACCTGACCTGTCTTAACTTGACCTAGCTTAAACTTAACCTAACCTATTCTTACTTGAACTAAACCTAACTAACTTTTCCTTATGCTAACTTAACATCTCCTAATTTATCTGAACTTAAACCTAACCCAACTTTAACTTATTCTGATGTTAACTTAACCTAACCTATGCGTAACCATATCCAAAGTTATCCTAACCTATCCTAACTTAAATTTAACCTGACCTAAAGTTAACCTAACCTAACCTAACCTAACCTAACCCTAACCTTTCAGAGAATTTCGTTCACTGTTGCCAGAAACTAGTCATATAGTTTACACCCTTCCAAGGCAACACCGTCGACATACACTGTTGCCAGATGCCAGTGTAGACCCCTCCACTTCAAGCAGCAAGATCGTTGACATGCACTGTTACCAAGACAGTCGAATGTAAACCCTATATTGTCGATAATCACTGTTGCCAGAAACCAGGATATAATCACACCTTCAAGGCAACATTTCCAACATGTCGACCAGCTGAATAAAACAACAACAAATACAAACAAATAAACAAGTAAACAAATTTGTTAAGATTAATTCCGACCCAAGAGGATGGTGATGGTAGCTGTACACGACTATATATCTCTCTCTCTCTCTCTCTCTCTCTCTCTCTCTCTCTCTCTCTCTCTCTCTCTCTCTCGATGCCCCAAGTATTATGATGTCACTTCTTAACAAAATCCGAATTCCTTTCTTTTTTTTTGTTCCTGCTAGTGTCATGTAATGGTTTAATTCATATCTTTTATGGTGAGCTTAAACCAAACCTAACCTAACCTAACCTAACCTAACCTAACCTAACCTAACCTAAACCTAACCTAACCTAACCTAACAAGGGTAGTTTTACTTAAGTTAAATTTGGCTGGTTCGTCTCGATTGCTTTTTTTAAACTGTGGCAACATTTTAACATTAATTATTATGCTACTTACAAAACCTGAACCTGGCTGGACATACCAATTAAACCTCGGTAGAACCTCACCTTTGACCTCTAATGATCTCTTAACCCGATTAGAACCTGAACCTCTGTTTCCTCTCTGATTTTGATTTCAATGGAACCTCTTTCTAATTCTCAAACAGAACCTCTCCTGTCTCATAGTGAACCCAATAGAACCTCTCCTGTCTCATAGTGAACCCAACAGAACCTCTCCTGTCTCACAGTGAACCCAACAGAACCTCTCCTGTCTCATAGTGAACCCAATATAACCTCTCATTTTCTCACTTTCTTTCACTCTCTCTTTAAAACTTTAATAGAACTTCTTTCTCTTTCTTTGAACCTAATTAGATACCCGAACCCGGACCCGAAACCGGTCCTAGAACCTAACTTAACATAACCAAACCTAATTCAACCAAACCCAATCAAAACTGAACCAAACTTGAGAATTTAGTGAGAGATTACAGACCTGATTTGTGGAATGACAACTACACGCTGTGGCCTCCTAACCTGCTTCCTCACTCACTCCAACTCTCGCGTCATCCTCTCCCGTAGCACCCCTCCCCTCCCGCGGCACCCCTCCTCTCCCGTGGCACCTCCCTCCCCGGCACTCCTAATCTCTCGTGGCACCGTCCTCTCCCGTGGTACCATCCTCTCCCGGCACTCCTCCCCTCCCGTGGCACCCCTCCTCCCGTGACACCTCCCCTCCATTGGCACCCCTCCTCTCCCGTGGCACCCTCCTCTCCCCCGCACCCCTCCCCTCCCGTGGCACCCCTCCTCTCCCGTGGCACCCCTCCTCTCCCCGTAGCACCCCTCCTCTCCCGTGGCACCTCATACATAACCTGACACAGTCCTTCCGCTACACTTATTCCTTTTGGCCACCAGCAGGAAAAGTCTTGGGTCTCACCTCACGTTTACAGATTCCAATAACGATATAAGCCTCGTGACACTAGCTCTATCCTTTGACACGAGGCACTGTTTAGTTTTCATACCCCTTAACCTTTGGCGCTGTACAGGATCTATGCTTCCCCTCATCTGGCACTGGTTGTGGATCGTAAATGTGCGTTCTGTTATTCGATATGCTCACTAACGCTCCAAATATTATGCTTCATAGCCTACCGAATGCTCCCAAGTACCTCAAACTTTCCTGATACTCTACCTTGGCACTCAAAAATGCTCCCTAACATCCCAAAACGTCCCTGGCACTGTTATTTATCATCTTTATGCTCCTCCCTCTATGCTCTTTACGTGGATGACAAGTTACAGTGAGAGTATCCACACACCCACGCATCCACACAGCCACATCTCGTTAGTTGTGTTGTGATCTAAGGAGGCTCGAGTTATGTTTCAGGTGATAAAATATTTCTCCAACAATGAGTTAATTAAAGGTGTTGTAGTGTGTTTATGTTGAACGTTAACCAAGAGACAAAGTGTACTGTTACTCACCACCTCTCTCCCTCTCTCCCTCACCCCAATTTCTCCTGACTCATACTCTCCCTTCTTCACCTACACCCTCTATCACTCCCTCCTCACCTGATCTCCCTCCCTACCTCACCCACAGTAAGGACTCCCATATACCCACTACACAGATATACAGTATATATATATATATGGATATATAACCTATGATATACAACTGTTGTGTTAGCTAGAGTCTATACACAAACTGTCTGGATGTCTTCCACAGTCCTGGGAACTCCCCCTCGTATACCTAGACCACGTACTGTACCTACTATCATATCATAATTAACATGTAAATCACTGTCTTCCCATCAGAGTCTCATATATAGTATACAGTCTTGTGAAGAAGATTTGTATTTTCCCATCAAATGTGTAAATTTTTCGATATAAAAAAGATGGATATTTCGTTATTCAGAATTTGCTTCAAGGTAATCAAAAACATGTAGTGGCCGGACAGGAGGAGCCTTGGGGCGGCCACGGCCACAGCCAAGGCCACGGCCACGGGTCCTCCTGTAGAGTGAAACAATAAAGAATAATTCACGTGCTCTCTCGGGTTTTTCTCTCGTCCTTTTTCTCTCTCCCATCTCCTCCTCCTCCCTCCCTTAGGTCCCTGTTCGTGACGGAGCAACACTGCTCTACCCAGCATATATATATATATATATATATATATATATATATATATATATATATATATATATATATATATATATATATATATATATATATATATATATATATATATATTGTGATGATGACAGGTAACACCAAAGACACAGACACACTAATTAATCTAAGTGCTGTCGTGATTATTTACATCTTCAAACAGTACAGTACAGTACAGTACAGTACAGTACAGTACAGTACAGTACAATACATACTACTCAGTACAGTACAGTACAGTACAGTACAGTACAGTACCCAGTTCAGTACAGTACCCAGTTCAGTACTGTACTGTACTGTACTGGGTACTACCACTACTGTACTCCCTGAAGAGTTAATAATCAAGACAACACCCGATAATTCATGTGTCTGTGTTTGGTGTCACCTGAACTAGGTGACCTGTCATCTATTTGTGTACGTGCATGTATGTATGAAGATAAAACTACCTATTAACACCATGAAGTACATTATTTAATCCTCTCAACCACGGCCTGAGGCACAAGATGACACTGTGGTGAGCCCAGGACATAGTAAGGGGGCGGAACAGTCACACCACCACCAGTCACTATAACTGGACACATAACCTTGGAGAACAGCTGACTGTATGCACGACTGTGATGATGATGATGATCATTAAACAAAACTAAATATAAACCATATAACCCATTGAGGATGGAAGGGATGGAATCATCATCCTCAAAGGGTTAAACCATCTTCCTCAAAGGGTTAAACTATCATCCTCAAAGGGTTAAACCATCTTCCTCAAAGGGTTAAACTATCATCCTCAAAGGGTTAAACCATCTTCCTCAAAGGGTTAAACTATCATCCTCAAAAGGTTAAACCATCTTCCTCAAAGGGTTAAACTATCATCCTCAAAGGGTTAAACCATCTTTCTCAAAGGGTAAACTATCATCCTCAAGGGTTAAACCATCTCATCCTCAAGGTAAACTATCATCCTCAAAGGGTTAAACCATCTTCCTCAAAGGGTTAAACTATCATCCTCAAAAGGTTAAACCATCTTCCTCAAAGGGTTAAACTATCATCCTCAAAGGGTTAAACCATCTTCCTCAAAGGGTAAACTATCATCCTCAAAGGGTTAAACCATCATCCTCAAAGGGTAAACTATCATCCTCAAAGGGTTAAACCATCTTCCTCAAAGGGTTAAACCATCATCCTAAAACACTTAAAACATCATCTTGAGAGGATTAAATTGGTCTCTTCAAAGAGTTAAGCCATCATCCTCAAAAGGTTAATCAATAATCTCTAAAGGTTTAAACCATCATTTTGAAATGATTAAACCATTATTTTGAAAGGAATAAACCATCATTCTCAAAAGGTTAAACGATAATTCTGAAAGGGTTTAACTATCATCCTTGAAGGGTTAAATCATAATTCTCAAAAAGTTAAATCATCATTCTCAAAAGGATTAAACCATCATCCTCAAAGGATTAAACCATCATCCTCAAAGGGTTAAATTATCATCCTCAAAGAGTTAAATAATTATACTCAAAGGGTTAAACCATCATCCTCAAAGGGTTAAACCATCTTCCTCAAAGGGTTAAACCATTATCCTCAAAGGGTTAAACCATTATCATCAAAGGATCCATCGTCCTCAAAGGGTTAAATCATCATTCTCAATGGCTTAAACCATCGTCCTCAAAGGATTAAACCATCGTCCTTAAAGGATCAAACCATCGTCCTCAAAGGATTAAACCATCGTACTTAAAGGATCAAACCATCGTCCTCAAAGGGTTAAACCATCGTCCTCAAAGGGTTAATATCAGCATAAGCTTGACATAAAGACACCAACACAAGGCCCACAATACCAATCCTTCCTGGAACACAAACAACAACACCAATATCTGCAACACTACAAAGACCAGTCGACAATGGAAAGGAAAATATTTAACTTGCTTAATAACAACAGTTCTTTCATCAACAAAATACCTGGAACACGACTGGGAATGATCAATACCTGGAATACGACTAGGAATGATCAATACCTGGAACACGACTGGGAATGATCAATAAATACCTGGAATACGACTAGGAATGATTAATACCTGGAACACGACTAGGAATGATCAATACCTGGAACACGACTGGGAATGATCAATAAATACCTGGAATACGACTAGGAATGATTAATACCTGGAACACGACTAGGAATGATCAATAAATACCTGGAATACGACTAGGAATGATCAATACCTGGAATACGACTAGGAATGATCAATAAATACCTGGAATACGACTAGGAATGATCAATACCTGGAATACGACTAGGAATGATCAATAAATATAGATACGACTAGGAATGATCAATACCTGGAATATGACTAGGAATGATCAATAAATACCTGGAATATGACTAGGAATGATCAATACCTGGAATACGACTAGGAATGATCAATAAATACCTGGAATACGACTAGGAATGATCAATAAATACCTGGAATACGACTAGGAATGATCAATAAATACCTGGAATACGACTAATAACGATCAATAAATACCTGGAATACGACTAGGAATGATCAATAAATACCTGGAATATGACTAGGAATGATCAATACCTGGAATACGACTAGGAATGATCAATACCTGGAACACAACTAGTAATGATCAATACCTGGAATACGACTAGGAATGATCAATAAATACCTGGAACACAACTTGTAATGATCAATAAATTCCTGGAATACGACTAGGAATGATCAATACCTGGAATACGACTAGGAATGATCAATAAATACCTGGAACACAACTTGTAATGATCAAAATTCGAATACGACTAGGAATGATCAATACCTGGAATACGACTAGGAATGATCAATATCTGGAATACGACTAGGAATGATCAATACCTGGAATACGAACTAGTAATGATCAATAAATACCTGGAATGCGACTAGTAATGATCAATAAATACCTGAAATACGACTAGGAATGATCAATAAATACCTGGAATACGACTAGGAATATCTCTGGAATCGGTCAAGTTAAAGGTTAAGTGTACAAGGTCAGTCAACAACAAGAGAGGAAGAGTGACCGAGCTGTATCCAGGGGCCTCGAAAAGCAATATGATGGACCCACAGTGGACCAGAGGTAGGGATGGAATGGCCCCACACTTCCCCACTCCAATATGACCCATCCCACTATGTTTACTAGTTATTGTGGTGATCTGGTGAGGTAGGTGATCTAGGAGGGTGTGGTGGTGATTTGGAGGTAGTAGTGGTGACCTGGAGTAAGTAGTGGTGACCTGGAGTCAGTAGTGGTGACCTGGAGTAAGTAGTGGTGACCTGAAGTAGTGGTGACCTGGAGTAAGTAGTGGTGACCTGAAGTGTGGGGGACCTGGGAGTAAGTAGTGGTGACCTGGAGTAAGTAGTGGTGACCTGAAGTAGGTGACCTGAGTAAGTAGGGAGGTGTGTTGGTGCGGAGTGAGGGGGGAGGTGGTGACCTGGAGTAAGTAGTGGTGACCTGAAGTAGTGGTGACCTGGTGGTGGTGACCAGTAAGTAGTGGTGACCTGGAGTAAGTAGTGGTGACCTGAAGTAGTGGTGACCAGGAGTAAGTAGTGGTGACCAGGAGTAAGTAGTGGTGACCTGGAGTAAGTAGTGGTGACCTGGAATAAGTAGTGGTAAAATTGGGTCACGTGGAGAGTAAGGTAATGGTAGTAAAGGTGACGAGACCTAATGGTAGTTAACCCAACCAGGAATTAGACATATTAGGACAAGAACCTATTAAGACTTGGGTGTATTATGTGAGGAACCTATTAGATATTTGGTCCATTAGAACTATTACCTATTAAGACATGAGGACGGTCAGGACTGTCAGGACGGTCAGGACGGTCAGACGGTCAGGACGGTCAGGACGTCAAGTGTGAGGACGGTCAGGACGGTCAGACTGTCAGGACGGTCAGGAGTGTCAGGACGGTCAGGACTGTCAAACTGTCAGGACGGTCAGGAGTGTCAGGACGGTCAGGAGTGTCAGGACGGTCAAGTATGTCAGAACGGTCAGGACTCAGGGCGTATCATGACCAAAGCCTTACAGTTAATCAACCTATTGGACGTGTAAAAGAAACAAGAAGAGACAGTAACTATAAGATCTAGTTTGAGAAGGCAGTTTGATGGAGTGTAGGAGAGGTCATCAACTTTCCATCTCCACAACTGATACAAGCATTCATCTATTGGTACTTTATCAACTATTATTATTATTTATGAGAAGATGAATGAGGGAAATATATAAATAGCTTTATTAACTTTACTACTAATAAACAATGAACGAGTATTACCATTATTATTATCACTACTACCACCACAACAACAACAACAACAACAGCTACTACTACGACTACTACTAATAATAATAATAACAACGATCAGACTCAGATACCGTCCCTACTAACAGACCAGGAATAAGTTATCTTTGTATGTTAAAGCTATTACACATATACATTACTAAAAAAAACAAAAGAGAACTGAAGTATTGGGTGTTTGAATATAAAATGATACAGCCAGGATGATAATAATGGACACTTAAGTTATAATCAGCATACTAATTAAGTATCTTAGTTCTGAGCAAAACGAAAGGATGGGTGAAAAAATAAGTTGAGCTGGGGACAGGTGAAGGGCGTAAAACCACTAATGTAGGAAAGCACAAGAATGAAAGGTTCGTCTGTGGTACTCAGTGATTTAAGGCCTGACTATAGGGTGTTTATGAATAGCATACGTTTAGTAAATTGGAATACAAGAATGGGGTTTTTAATGTTTTTGAAACTCGAGAATTAAAAAAAAAGAGGGAAGCAAGGACAGAAATTATAAGAAGACTGGAAATAGTCATTATAGGGATC